AACAGGGAAATTAAAAATTCCACTGGAAGCTTGTAAAACTGACCAATGAAAGCAAAGATAGAATATCAGATCTAGATCACAGTTAATGATTACAAAAATAAATATCTATTAAAAATAGCAATGGATCATGAAAAAGCAATCCAATAACTGCAAGATGATGCAAAAGAGGAAAATGTGAGGTTGATCAGAGTCGAGGAAATAGCCATACTCAGCACAAATGACATAAAAATCCTGTTCACAGAAGTAATGGCAGAAACTTACCACATAAGGAGGAAGAATTTGACATGCAGATAAGTAAAGCATTCAGAATTTCAAAATAGCCATGACGCAAAGAAATCTATTCCTAGGCATATAATAATAAAGATTTCAGAAACATCACAAGAACGGAATATTGTAAGCTGTTAGAGAAAAATAACAAATTATCATAAATGAATACCCATCAGAATCACAGTAAACTTTTCAACACAAACCCCTACATCAAGGGAAGCTTGGAATTAAGTATTTTAAGTCCTGAAAGAAAACAACTTTCAATCGAGATTGATGTACCATGAAAAACTATCTTTAAAAATTAATGGAAAAATAAGATACTTCCATGACAAGGAACAACTAAAGGAATTCATGACAACCAAGCCAGAACTACAAATCATTCTGAACGATATTCCAGAAAGAGATAAAGAAGATTACAATTTCAAGAATACCAATAGAAAAAAGCCATCAGGCAGGGCAAACAGTTAAACAGAGGGGAAAGACAGGAAACCAATAGCTGGCAAATCATTTGACAAGGGTAACCCAATATATATCAGTTATAATCATTAATGTAAATGGTCTCAATTCACCAATCAAAAGAAATAGTCTGGACGAATGGATTAAAAAATAAGATACAATAATATGCTGTATGCAAGACACACATTTAACTCAAAAAGAAGTTCTTAGACTGAAAGTCAAAACATGGGAAACAATACTCCATATGACAGTAACCCAGAAAAAAGCAAAACAGTGAACTTCAAGCCAATATTGATCAAAACAGATAAAAATTTCACTATATACTCGCTAAAGGAAAAATCCAAGAAGAAGAGTTTATAATTATAAATATATATGCATCAAGTAGAAATTCACACACCTATGTAAGACAAGTATTAATGGACATTAATAATCAAATAAGCACTAACACAATTGTTAGGGCATGAATACCTCATTGTCACAATTAGATAGGTCAATCAGATGTATAAAGAAATAAATATCACAGTTGAAACAAACTTATGAGTAAATGGATTTAGTAGATGTCTGAGAAGTGTTCCATTCCGTAATATCAGAGTACACACTCTCAGCTTTCACAAAACTGTCCACAAAATAGACCACATGTCAGGCCATAGCACAAGCTTAGAAAACTGCAAAAGAAATGAAATTTTCTCATGACTATTATCTGACCATAGTGCGGTGAAATTGGAAATCAATGGCAAAAGAAACCACAAAAATTCTATAAATATATGGAACCTAAATAACACTTTCCTGAATAACCATTGGGTCACAGATAAAATTAATGAAGAAATTAAACAGCATTGACAATTCAATGATTATGCGGATACAACATGTCACAACTTACAGGATACAATTAAAGCAGGGAAATTTATAGTGGTAATTCTCATACTGGAAAAATACAGTGAGCTTAGAGAAACAATGTTGAGTCTCAAACCTCTAGAAAAAGAAGCACAAGGCAAGTTCAAAGCTTGTATCAGAGAGGAAATTACAAAAATCGGAGCAGAAATTAATGCAGCTGAAACTAAGGAAACCACACAAAGAATCAATGAATCACACAGTTGGCTGTTTTGAAAGATTGAGCACCTTTACTTGAATAAGACGGAAACACAGAAGAAATGAACAACCTCTTATTTTCACATGAACTATCAAAGCTGAAGTTATAAAATTCTAAATAGCCTAGTATCAGTCAATGAGATTGAAAATGTAATTAAAATCTTACCAACAAAGAAAAGCCCAGGTCCCGATGGAGTCCCTGCTAATTTCTACAAGAAATTTAGAGAAGAATTAACGCCATTACTCCTCAAACTGGTTTTGTTGTTGTTGGTGGTGGGTTTTTTTGTTTGTTTGTTTTGTTTTGTTTTGATTTTTGGTACCAGGGATCAAACTCATGACCTCACACTTGCCAAACAGGCACTTGTGCCACTGAGCTAAATCCCCTCTCCTCAAACTCTTTAATGAAGTTGAAAGAGAAGCAATACTCCCAAAGTCATCTCTAAAAGCAAGTATTACCCTGATACCAAAACCAGAGAGGGACCCAACTAATAAAGAAAACCACAGGCCAATCTTCCTATGAACAAAGGTACAAAAATCCTCAAAATGTTATTAGCAAACAGAATGTAGCAAATCTTGAAAAGGATTATTCACTTTTACCAAGTAGAATTCATTCCAGGGATGCAGGGATGGTTCAACATACACAAATCACTAAGTGTAATATACCATATTAACAGAGCCAAAGACAAAAATCACACGATCATTCAATATATGCAGAAAAGGCATTTCACAAAGTCCAGCCCCCATTCATGATAAAATGTCTACAGAAATTTGGAATAGAAGGTTTTTATCTCAATCTGTCAGAAAGCCATTTATGACAATCCAGCAACCAACATGATATTAAATAATCAAAAATTAAAAGCTTTCACTCCAAAGTCAAAATCAAAACAAGGATATCCATTATTCAGTACAGCTCTGGAAACACCAAAGAAATTAGGCAAGATAAAGAAATAAAGGGAATAAAGATAGGAAAAAAGAATTTAAATTATCATTATTTCCAGATGGCTTGATACTCTACATAGAAGAACCCCAAAAACTCCATCAAAAGACTTCTAGATTTAGTAACCAAACTCGGTCACATAGTTGGATACAAGGTCAACACTCAAAAATCAATAGCATTCCTGTACACAAGTAACAAATTCACTGAGACAGAAATTAGGGAAACACCTTTAATAATACCATCAACCATTGAAATACTTGGGACAATCTAACAAAATAAGTAAAAGATCCTTACATTGAAAACTACAGGACTCTGAAAAAGGAGACCAAAGCGGGTATCAGAAAACGGAAAGAGATCCCTTGCTCTTGGATAGGAAGAATGAACAAAGTGAAAATGACCAGGTTCCCCAAACTGCTGTAAGGATTTAATGAAATCTCAATCAAACACCATTAGTATACTTCACAGAACTAGGGAAAACATTCATAAAATGCATTTGGAACCAGGAGCGACCCAGAATACCAAACACAATGCTAGGCAACAAAGGCAAGGCAGGAGGCATCACGATCCCTGACTTGAAATTATACTACAAAGCTATAGTGATAAAAATAAGCATAGTACTGGCACCAAAACAGACCTGAGGATCAAGGGAACAGATTAAAAGACACAAAAGTAACTACAAAGATACTCAGCCACCTTGTCTTTGACAAAGGAGACCAGCACATTTACATGAAGAAATACAGCCTCTCTACTAAGTGGTGCTGGGAATAAATAAATAAATGGTGCTGGAAAAGCTGGGTTCCACGTGCTGAAGACTAAAATAGCCCAGGTCTATCACCATGCAAAACCAAAATCAAAATGGATCAAAGATCTGAATATTAAAACAGAAATAGTAAATCTGCTGGAAGAGAAAATAGGTAGAGCTCTTGAGGACGTAGATGTAGGCAAATACTTCATGAACAAAACCTCAACTTCAGGGAAATACTACAAAGAATCAACAACTGGGATCTCATCTCACTAAAAAGCTTTTGAACATCAAAGGAAATAATCAACAGGGGAACCCACAGAGTGGGAAGAAACTTAGTCACTTTTCTCTCAGACAAAAGACTAATTCTAAATCTATAAAGACCTGAAAAATTCCTATCCATAAATGTAAAGTTCCAATCAAAAAGTGGACACGAGATGGATAAGCACCTCATACAAATGGAAAGCAAATAAAAGGAAAGATGTTCAGCATCACGGTCATTCATGAAGTGTACGTGAAAACATCACTGAGGTTCCATCTCACTCCGGAAAAAATGGCTGTCATCAAAAGTCAACCAGCCACAAATGCTGGCAGTGTTGTGGGGAAAAGGACCCCTTCTCCACTGTTGGCGGGAGTATAAACTGGTGCAACCACTGTGGAAATCAGTGTAGAGCTTCCTCAGAAAGCTAGAATTGGAGGCCCCATTTGGTCCAGCTAGTCACCTTCTCAGAAGAATTAAAAACATCATATTATAGTGATATATGCACACCCATGTTTAAAGCACCATGGTTTGTAATAACCAAATCTTGGAAACAACCCAAGCATCCATCAATCTTGATAAAAAAGATGTGGTTTACTTTTATACAATGGCATAAAAGTCATAAAGAAGGATAAACATGAGACCATACTCTTCAGTGGAATAAACCAGACACACATATGTAAACATTGTATTGCCCATCTGATGTGATAAACTGAAACAGTACATAAGAACCAAAATGTATAACAGTTATTATGAAATAGGAAGGAATTATTCAAAAGAAAAGGGGAACTTGGGAGGAGGGAAGAGGAAAAGAAAAACAATGAGAATAGAAGGATAAAATGAAATCACAGCTTTTTAAATAAGGAGGGAAAGGGAATGGGACAAAGGGGAATCAAGATCTCTCAGGTACAAATTCCCTACAATGAATGTGATCATTATGTATAGCTAAACTGTACTAAGAAGCTTAATTTTAAAAACTTTGCATATATGAACAAATACACTAGTTTTGGTGCCTTTCATTCACATTTTTAAAGGCTTTGGAATTTTATACATTCACTCTTAATAAACAATATGCATGTGTACTTATAGCCATAAAAACTCCAAGTGTACATCAGAAGCAAGGTTTTATTTTTAATATAGTGCCTTATTTTTCTGACAGGTAAGGACCTATTGCACTCACCAGTAACTCAGAGCTGGAAAAACAGAATGAAATTGACTGAATCCAACCAACTGTACAGAAATAGACTAACCTTCTTAACGCTCTTGTTGAGGTCGACCAGACTGAGCAGGAAGATGTGGTCTTTGACTCCCAGGAGCAGCCGGCCCCTCTCCTCATCCAGCAAAAGGGTCTGGAAATCCAGTCCTTCCGAGGAGCCCAGGAAGGGGGTGCAGCTGTTTGACAGCAGCAAGTCTGTGAAAAGTGAAGGGAGAAAAGGGGGAAACCTTAGTTGATAATGCTGGTCTCTGAGACAGAGGCAGAGAGTCCACTTTGTGAAGAGCCCTCCCCGTAGAGATATATCAATGATTGTAGTTTTCAACGTTTGTTCACTTAGAAACAAATGCAATGTATTATACCAGTATTGACACTTTAGAGTACATATTAATATTGATACAAAACATGTGAGTTCCAAAACAATGAAATAACAATATTTTATAATCTTTTATTTGTATTCTTAAATGATAATACAGAGCATCTATCTATAATATTTGACATGTGATGAAATTAACAAACACATATGAAGCAAGCATGAAGTAGTGTCTCAAACCTCATGCGACCTCTTCCATTTCTGCCTTGGAGAGCAGACCTTAATCTGGAGAGCTCCTGTGGCACTGGGCAGGGCAGAGGTTTCGTGCGGTCCTTGGCTGCACACGCTTGGTTGCAGTTCGGGAATCCATGTCGATAAATTAGTACCCTTCGCAGTGCACAGTTTATTCTCGGATTCAGTATTGATGCTGCTGTGCTGAATGGGGTGGATAAAAGGGTCACAACATCTATGAACCCCACAATATTATGGAGAGAAGTCTCACCGCCCCAACAGTCCTCCGAGCCCTGCCTGTTTCCTCCTCGCCAGCTCTCACTAGCAGCCACTAGTCTTTACAGGGTCTCCGCAGCTCACTCACGGGAATCACACCGTGTGCATCGATTCACTCTGTCATCTTTCACCCCCTTGTAAGTTTCCTCCCTGTCTGCACAGCTGTCCGGTCAGTGCTGGCCAGTAGTCCGCGGTCTGGACCTGCCGTGTGCTGTATGTATTCCTTCACCTGCTGAGGGGTGTCTTTGTTGCTTCCAGCTTTTAGCTGTGAAGAATAAAGGGGTTCCTAGACCTCTGTATGTGGGGTTTGCTGAGAGCATCAGCTTCTTTCTAAGCTAATCACCAAGAAGCATGATTTAGTGGATATGTTTAGTTTTAACAGCAGGCGTCCAAATGCCTTGCGAAGCATCTGCCCATTTCCCACACTCTGGCTCAGAATGCTGCTGCTTCTCTGCACATCCTTGTCAGAGTCGTCAGTGCTGTGGGTGATCCGGGTGCAGTGGGGCACGATTTGCATTTCCTACCTGACAGCAGGATGTGCCCTCTCTCCATGTCCTTGTTTGCCATCCTTGGTGAGGCGTCTATGGACGCGTTTGGCCTTTTGTGAGAAGTGTGTGATTTATTTCTTACTACTGAACATCAATAGACCTTGCTATCTTTTGAATCACAGTTCCTTATTAGATATGTACATTGAAATACTATTTTCCAGTCTATGGCTTGCTTTTCTCTCACTTTCATTTTTTATTGCATTTCCAGCGATGCTTGCTTTGAATAATTACAGTGCTGTTGTTTTAAATTTGCAGGAAGAAGTTATAAACGAAGAAGACTAATCCAAGCAAAGGATTCTGAAAGACATGACTTGACCTAGCAATAGGAAGAGAGTCTTAGAGCTGGAAGTGGTCACTAATATTTTTAAGGAGGAAAGAGGCAAAGCTCACAATTGATGGCCAGAAAGTGAAGTCTGACCCAGTGCTAGGAACAGAGAAGGGGTTGGCAGCCCGGGAGGAATTCCCAACACCTCGGGGACACAGGGAGTCCTGCACTGCTGAGGGCATGTGTGGCTTCACACAAGCCATCTGAGGAATCTCCTCTATGTGGGCTCCCAGCCAGCCTTCCCTGGGAAGTGGGCAGCACCCGCCTCTGGACCCTAAATGGCCTCCCGTTCCAGACACTTGGACCTCTGACCAGCCCAGCCTCAGTATCCTTAGGGTCCCTTTGGGCAGCGTGTTCCCCAGTGGCCACCGCCCAGGCTCTCACATGCCCACATTTGCTCTGAGGAATGCAGCCTTAGGAAACGAACAACCTCACTCCTGGGGACATGATACTGATGCATTCCCTTTACTGTAACCTGCTCATCTCCATGGTGACAGATGTTGGCGTCAGGGTGCTCACAGCCCTCCATGAAGGGTGGGCCAAGGCCGGGTTTAGCTCTGCAAAGAGCTCTCTGGGAGCCCGCCCTGTGTCCTTTAGCACAGTCACTGCCCACTCAGGGTGAAGGATAGCTTGACATGACCCAGGGTCTATGCTTCCTCTTCACCCGGAGAGGAAGGGAGAGGCTCTCACATTGAGGTCAACAAATCTAGGACCCAGCGGCACAGACTTCCTCTGACTCTGACTGCTGAATGACCGAGGTAGGAAATCCTGACAGCCTGCATTTACTGTCCCAAACCCCGAATCCTGGGGGCTTTCAGCTTCTCCCATAGAGTGGCACCTCCTGAGTCCTTTAAGAAGAGTGCTGAACTGGAAAAGAGGCGGGGGAGAGAGACAGAGAGAAAAGAAGGGGGGAGAGAGGAAAGGAAGGGGGAAGAGAGGAGGAGAGGGGAGGGGGGAGGAGGGACAGGGGAAATGGAAGAGGAAAAGAGAAAGAAAGAAAAGAAAAGAAAAGAAAAGAAAAGAAAAGAAAAGCAAGCAAGCAAGCAAACAGATTGTTAAAGGCAGAACTTTGTGAAGTAAAAAGAAAATCAGGTTTGGAGAAAGGTGCTTTGCAGTCCACTCCTAAGGAAGGTGCAGCATTCCTCAGCAGAGAAAGTTTCTGGTACAAAGCAGACCCCCTCAAGCCCAGTCCCCTTCTCGGGCCAGGGCAGGATTTGCCTGTGCAGAAATCTTGCCTGACGCAGTCTCCTGTCCTGAGGGAAGCAGCGTTTTTATCACTCAGGCTTCGGAGAGCCCCAACATAGTTGTCCTCCAAGTTCTCTGCAGAGCAGGAAAGCAGCTGCCCATGTCCCTGCACGGTTCCCAGCTGGTTTCATGGAGAATTAGCACCTAACCCTCCCGGAGAAAGCTCCTTTAAAACCCCTTCCCAGCGATCCCAGACCCTCTGGGCGCTCACACACTCCCAACAGGAGCTGGGCTTGCAGGTCTGGACCAGGCAGCAGCCTGTCCACAGCGAGGGTCCCACACCGCCTGGGTCCGCCCAGCCCTGGGGATGTGAATGTGTGCTCCTCCGCCAGCTGGTGGGCCCAGGGAGCACCTGGGTTTTCCTGAGACTCACCCTCAGGGAATTCACTCCTCTTACATTGGTTTCCCTGCTTTCCATCAGGTTTTCTGAGGCTTGAGAACATGTGAAATACAGGGTCACCAAGATCCACCTACACAAAAATGCTGCTCATGCTCCTTGTGTTTAGAACAGCAAGCTAGCTGCTATGGAGAATATCAGTCAGACCCATAATTCCTACAAAGACCATTGCACAGTCACAGGCGTGGGACACATTATCCTCCCGCGGTCTGAGGGGCATGTCCAGTCTAACCATTTCCTGACAGTCAAGGCCAAGCCAAGCAGAACAACAAGACCCAAGCTTTCACGTGCTTTTCCGCAGTGGAAATGAGGAGTGCCCCCTATCCTGTAGGTCTTATAGTATTGCCGCACCCAAAATAAATCAGAGGACATCATGCTGGGAAGCCTAAGTCAGAGACAAATGAAGCCTCTGTGTGGCAGGATTCTGCTCCCCGGGACAGGATGTGAAGCAGGGATCAGTCACTGCAGTCGCCGCATTTCCACCTCCACCTGCCTTTCTAGGGCGCGGGCAGATTCACACTTGGAGAACATTCAAGGTCACGTTTCCTGTCAGTCACCTCTGTGCAGTTCACAGCTCAGAATTCCGAGCCGTTCACATTTGTCCTTTCAACAGGACAAATCACCTCAAATTTTTCGAAGCATTGCTATGATTATTGATTTTTTATAATGACCTAGAAAATGTCTAGAATATGAATATCACTTTTAATCAAAAGCAATGTTCTGACAGAATAGAGTTGGTAGAAATAATTGGGAGGATATTTCCAAGGAAAATCACTTTGGTTGGGACAATTATTTTCCTGGCCCCTTAAAGATATTTAGATTGTCTGCCTTGTGGAATTTCTAAACTCTATATGTCTAAATTCTATATTCAGGGAATGTCTAAACTCTATATTCAGTCACAAATTAATGAAGCTTTCTTACTATGGAACATAAGAACTTAATTTTTTAAAGATCAGCACATCAGAGGTTAACAGAAGAGCCACTGTTACTCTAACGAGCAAGACAAATATGACAAGAAAAGCCAATTCCTTGAGCTCGGAGCATTCCAAGATAATGTATACAGCAAAGGAGCCATGACCCTGACCCTGACCCTGACCCTGACCCTGACCCTGACCCTGACCCTAACCCTAACTCTGACCCTGACCCTGACCTTAACCCTAAAAGACAACACTTTATAACCATTACTATTTAAGTTATGTGTTTATATGAATAAAGAAAGATCTGCATATCCCATTGAGAAGTACCAGTTCCTTTATCCCCACAGATACCTCCCTGTGCCTTCCATTTTCCCTGGAAATGGTTTAAATCATGTCCTCACTGCTGCTATTATGACATTTTCAAAAATGGCCATCTTCTCTGTTTCACGCCTAGCACTCTTTTTGAGGAAATGTAATCTCCAGTAACTGAGGGAAATTTCGGTTTGGCTTTTCAGTCAGAGCCAACACCAATCACCTGTAAAACCTTTCTGTCAGGGATGGCAAACCCAAGGCACGCATGCCACAGCCTGCTGTTTGCTGTCACTAAAAGCTCTCGAAGTCTCGCCATGTCAGCTCCAGGTCTCCAGGTGAGGGTGCCCTAACCCCTCAGCAATGGTGCTCAGACAGCTTGCACCAGAACTCTAGAATATTCTGACCAGGGAGACTGAGAACACCACTACAGGGCCCAGCCCCCTCCCCTCCCGGCGGCAGATTCAGAGTCCAGGCGACAGAGCAGTGCCTCCCCCCGCCCCGCCCCAGGAACTGCACACCTCCATGAATTGCTTCCCGCTGTGCGTTGCTGGTTCTCTGTGGCTGACACACAGACCTGTAAGTGCACTGTCCTTTGAGGGCCGAGCTTCAGAAATCCTGGGGGCTTGGGATGCTG